GCATAAAATCAGTGATAACTTAGCTACTTATATAATAGCAATGTCCATTCATCCATGTTACTCAAATCTGTGTGTGTGTGTGTGTGTGTGTGTGTGTGTGTGTGTGTAGCAGTTTATCCTGAGTTTAGTGCTGTCTTGTCAAACCCTATTTCTTTTCTCTCTCTTTAGTGGTAAAATTTTATTTATTTATTTATTTATTTTTTTTATCCTCACCCGAGGATATTTTTCCATTTTTTGTACAGGGAGAGAGAGAGGAAGGGAGAGAGAGAGAGAAACATCGACGTGAAGGAACACATCGAGTGGCTGCCACCCGCACGACCAACCAGGGCCGGGGACAAAGTGCAACCGAAGTACGTGCCTTTAGCGGGAACCGAACCCGGGTCTCTCCGGACCACAGGCCGATGCTCCAACCGCTGAGCCAAACTGGCCAGGGCTTTAGTGGTAAAATTTTAGATACAATCCTCTGCATATGAGAAGAAAGTCCAAGTCTTTGCTTCACTATCTAATTTTCTAAAGGAATTGATTTTTTTTTTTTTTTTACTTTCATTCCATTTGAAAATTAAATTTTTCTTATAAAGTTGGTTCTTCAGTGTATGAATGTTGTTTGGTATCTTAGTTTACCATTGAGTCCAGACCCATAAATGGCAAAGGAATATGTTTATGAAGACGTAAAGAAACAAACCACAGGCTCACCTTATCAACCATTCCACAAATCTGCTTGCTTCAAACTTATACATTCCATTGTATGAAGAACATTGTCCTGGTAAAGTGGTTGGTAGTGAGCACAGTAGTACTTTATCCAGGGCAGTGTGACTTTAGTGGATAGCACTGGTCAGAAAAGGTCAAAATCAGGAGCCGAGATGGCTCCTGACCTTCTTCAAGGGCAAAGGAGAAACGACCCCCTGCGTCTGCCCATAGTGCCGTCTGCTGCTCAGCCCGATGGCGTGTCACTGACAAGGGCAGGTGCCCAGAGGTTGTGCTGTGGGATGGACCACACAGGGTTGATCTTGACCACAAACACTAAGTCTAACAGTCTTATGAGCGGCTTGCTGGTCAGGCAACTCTATCACTAGAGTGAATTTTAAAATTTTTCTAGCAACCTCTTGTTAGGCTTACTCTTGTTAGAACTTCGTTTGCCAGGCTGATCACAGTATGAGGAAACTCAAGCCCTCGCGTTGGGATAATTGAGATAACACTGTTGTATCCCTGAAGAGGGAAAGTATATTCATCATGAAACGTGGGCCTACGAGTTGGTTGAGAACAAAATAGGCAACACATTCATTCAAAATGGGCCCCCTCTCTTGTTTCGGGGTTTTCTTGCATAGTACGCTCACTTGACTGCCTTCGTCTCGGTGGGAGGGTCCAGATAACCCAGCTGGGCGGTCCACTGGCCAGACCCTGGTGTTCTTTGCCGGGTGGCAGCTCGGTTTCGGATGGAAGGAACAGACCTCAGCCGTGCTGCCGTGCGCTCAGAAGAGAACCCCGGTTTGTCACACGGGGAAACCAGGTGTGTCTGATTGGCGGCCACCCTTTCCCGGGTCGGCAGGCTAAGGAGGCCATGTATCACTGAAGAAACGTAAACGGATGTGGACCAGACCGGAACTGTTTCATTGACCTGCCAGAAATCCTGTCTCTGAAACACCTGAGCTGTTGGAAGCACTGAGGCTGAGCCAGCCACGTTGTTTCTGAAACCTGCAGTTCTGAAGGTCCCCCCCCCCCCCCCCCCCCCGGCTGTGGGACTGCATGTCGGTGGCATCTCAGTCCCCACCGAGGGTGTTCTGCCGAGGAGGAGAACAGGCGGGGCTGGGCGGTTCACCTCCACCTCGGACCCCTCGCGCACCGTTCACCCCTTCCTCTCCAGACCCTGACAGGGGTGCCCGCTCATGATTTCAGATCCTGTGCCAGCCCTGAGCGTCTTCATGTGTTTTCTGTGTCCACCTGCTACTGGCACTTATGTGCAGTAGATTTTTATCCCTTACCTTACCCTGAGCCTTTGCTCAGTATTTTCAACCTGTGCCCTGGACTTTTCTTGACTGTTTTTTAGATGTGTGGTAGCTGAGTCCAGGCTCTGGCTTTAAGTTCTGGTCAGCTCACTTAATACCTGTGACCCGAATACACTTGCCTTCCCTGGGCTCCGTGTGGTCAGCTATGGGACCTGCCTCCCCGCTCCCCGGGGAATGAAGGAGAGGCCCTTGGCACGCACACAGGCTTGGAAAGCGCCCAGTAAATATTTGTGCTTCTCTCTCCATTTAGTCCAGTTATTTTAAGTCCATGCTCTACCTCACCTCCCTTCCGTGGTACCTGAGTATCCTGGATTTAATCATCTAAATTTGAGACTGTCTGGCGGCCAGTGAGCCAGAGATTTTTCTTTCTGCATTCAGCTCTTACACCGTGCTTGCATCCCCCACAGGCCGCGTAAGCAGTGAGGATGCGCATTATCCGTACTATGCGGCTGGGGAGCCGAAGGAAGCGGAATTCCTGGCCCGCCTCACTGAGGAGCAGTCAAGACAGACTTGGACTCCGTGTCCACGAATCCCCACTAACCCGGCACATTTCATTTCTTCCACATCAGGATTATGAATCCTTCTTTGTTTTAAAACAATTTCTTTCTTTCTTAATTTTTAGAGAGAGCGGAAGGGAGAGGGAGAGAAAGATAGAAACATCGATGAGAGAGTATCGATTGGCCACCTCCTGCATGCCCCCCACTGGGGATCGGACCCACACCCTGGGCATGTGCCCTGACCGGGAATGGAGCTGGCGACCTCTTGGTGCATGGGTCGACCCTCAACCACTGAGCCACACCAGCCGGGCTGAATTCTTCTTATCAACACTCTTCCACCGCCACCCCAAGTCTAGCTTTTGATTCATGTTCAGCCTCTTTATTCCATGCCCTTTGCTTTTCTCCCTTCCTCTGCGTTCTCTCTCCTGTTTTTGGATGATGGACTCTGTCCCATCCCCCACTTTCTCTTGTGATAGACCCCCCACGTCCTTGATCATAAACCCTACTTTTTAAAACTCAAAGCTCATTCTAACTCTTTCTATCAGCAGTGCCCCACTCATGTCTTGGACGGTCTGTTTCTCCATCTTAAAAATTGTGTGTCTCATCGAAGCTCTATCAGTCGCGAACGTGATCGGTGGCAGTAGCCCTGTGCACGGATGCCCTTGCTTCAAGGCGCCTCCCACCCTGACATCCTCACAGCATCTTCGTTCTAGAGGCTGCTGTTCTGACGTGCCTGTGGCCGGTGCTTCCTCCAGGCCCGGGCTGCTTTTCCCACAGTGCTGTGCAGATCTGGCTGTGTTATTGCTGGACAGGGGTCTTCTCTGACCTTCCAGGACAGGATTTATGTCTTCTTGCATCTTAACTTCAAAGCTTTGGACTTGCAGTCCCCTCTTGCTGTTTTCCATGGACACCCCGTCTCCCTGCTCACAGTTACCTCAGTAACGGGGAGGAGGGTAATTTGTCAACAGGGGGTGTGACACGCGTGTCAGTGAGTGCTTTAAAGGTGGCAGGCCTGCGTGTGCCCCCTGCAGACTCCGTCCAGCAGCTGAGTAAACGACTTTAGCTGTACCTACTGTTGCAGGCTTGGAAAAGATGACAGTTGATGTTTCTTCTAACTCTCAGCCGTGTAAACAGGAAAAATTGTTTCCCCTCTGAGAAATCAAAAATTCTTCACTCAGATGTTTCACTGGCCTCACAAACATTCAGAAGAATAGAGGTACATTGTACTCATCTCTCACAGGTCGTCTTTCATCATCTCAAAAGGCATATGTCATTATGGGAAACTCAGTCTCTGTTCTTTTCATTAGCTAGTTCTTCCGCGCGCCAGTGTTTGATCTTGGTGGCGGGACCCTGACCTCACATCTCAGTTTTCCCGGCTGTAAAATGGGGACATGATGTTCTGCTGAGCTTTCAGGATTGTTCTAAGGGAAGCAAAGTGTCTGGAAGCACTTTATCACTGATTTAAATGTACTTATTAGTATTGAGATGCTCACCTCACGTTCAGTATTTAATTCTAGTAATGTTTCTATCCTGTAAGATGTCAGCAAAATAGTCTCAGCACCAGGGGATTTGAGTCTTTCCACGGCCCAAATGTGCCCATCACGGGCGTTCCAGGCCAGTCCATGTCAGTGACCCTGGGAGGTCAGCTCCGATGTATCGTCCTTGCAACACATGGAGGTGACCAGCCCCTAACGCTGCTCCGCCAGGACATGTGGATGAACAGGAAGAAACCCGCGCTTCGTCTTCCCATAGCCCCTAGGGTTATGCTAGTTGAAAACTGTAAAAAATATAAAAATGTTCTCTGTGGAGCCCACTGGAAAGAGTGGACTCAATGGGTTTGCCCCAAAGCACCCCAGCCCTGGCTCACCACTGTGCGGGGACCCACGTTAAATCCACTCAACATGCCCGTCACAGAGCCAGAGGGGAGAGGACTCGACTCTGACCACGGGCCGTTCAGATGCCGTAACTGAAGGAGAAAAACCGATGGTTGCTCAGACACGTGATGTGGCTTCTTGTTTCTCCTGATTCCGCAGGAACTCACATGTGAACTAACATGTGAGGTCCCAATTTTTCTTTTTAAATGAGCAGAGCACAACTCTGTCAGCGCTCATATTGGTCCTGATGTGAACATGTTCTCAACCCTTCTCCTCACTGCTCCCGCAATTCTCTCTTTTTGTAGAGTTCGGAAGCCATAAAGTAAGCCACAATGGGACACTGTCTGTGTGTCTGTCATTTACCCCAATTCCTCAATGATTGGGTGTAAGCATCCTAGCCAGGCTGTGGTGAGGGGGGCCTCCCGTGCTCGGGAGAAAGCTGGTTTCTCCCACGCGCCCTGGCGCACGTCCTGTGGGGTGCCGCGCGGCCAGAGCTGTGGCCGGTCACTGTCCACCGAGCTCGTGACCTGACCTGACGTTGGCCCTTCGATGGTGACCCTGCAGGACAGCGTGGGCTGAGTGGGGGGAGAGCGTGCTCTCACCACGTCACCTTCCCTCTCTTCCAGGGACTCGGACCTGTTCTTGCTGGACACCCGCGTCGTGTGGGCCTCCGAGGAAGGCTGGCTGGAATTTGACATCACAGCCACGAGCAACCTGTGGGTGGTGACCCCACAGCACAACCTGGGGCTTCAGCTGAGCGTGGTCACTCGGGACGGTGAGTCCGCCAGACTCAGGCCAACAGCCCTTCGTTCCTTTCGCTGACCACGGTGTGAGAGATCCGGGGTTGACAGTCCACGGCTCAGGGTGACTCCTGCTGCTCCCTCATAACTGCCGTTACACTTTCCCTGGAAGGATGGGGGCGGTTAGGTGGCCCAGGTTCCGAGAGCAGTGCTGGGAGGAGAGCACAGAGGCAGAGGGTGAGCGATGCCGAGACAGAGACAGAGCACAGTCGACGCCTGGCTGTTGAGGAGGTTTGCAGGAACCCTCCAGCGCCCCTCCTCTGGCGGCATCCAAGCTCAGTGGACCGAGGGTCCCCCACGGGCCCTCAGACTGGGCCTCTCTTCCTGGGGTGTCACCTCACTGGTTGGGATGAGTATGATCAGAAAGAAAGAATGAATATGAAGGAAAAAGACTAGCAGAAACAGGAGTGTCCCCGCCCCTTGCTTTGATTCACAGACCTTTGGAAAGAAGGTTTTTGTTTGTTTTTCTTTATTGATATTAGAGAGAGGGGGGAAGAAATAGGGAGAGAGAGATAGAAACATGGATGAGAGAGAACATTGACTGGCCGCCTCCTGCATGCCCCCCACTGGGGACTGGGCCCACAACCTGGGCATGCCCTGACCGGGAATCGAACCAGTGACCTCTTGGTGCATGGGTCGACGCTCAACCACTCAGCCACACTGGCTGGGCTGGAAGGAGGGTTTTGATATTGTCCATGCAAAGGGCACCACCCGAGATCAGGGAGCACGCCTGCTCCCCATCACATGCATGCTTAGGGGATGAGCCCTGGGAGGCCGGGAAGGGTCGGTTATGCGGCGACAGGAGTACATTTCCGAGGAATAAAGAGGGGCGTGCTTTGGTTTGCATTCAAGGACTCAGCATCAACCCCCGAGCTGCAGGCCTGGTGGGCAGAGATGGCCCTTATGACAAGCAGCCTTTCATGGTGGCCTTCTTCAAAGTGAGTGAGGTCCACGTGCGCACCACGAGGTCCGCCAGTGGCCGGCGCCGGCAGCAGAGCCGCAATCGCTCTACCCAGTCCCAGGACGTGTCCCGGGTCTCCAGTGCCTCAGGTAGGTCTGGGTGAAGCCTGTGTCTCCTTGCTGGCTCTCGGGCCTCCGTGGGAATAAGGACGTGCGGACGGTGTCACGGGCCGCACGGCGCCTGCAGGGCCAACTCAGAGGCTTGCGGTGCCTCAGCACTGTCACACGTGATCTAGTCGGGCTCCTGGGGCCGGCAGGGGAATGTGCTGCCCAACGGTGGAGTCTGCAGGTTGCAGACATCGTGAGTGTCTGTTTTTCCAGGAAAACATTCTACGTTTGCTAAGATTTCTCCAACTCTTTCACCGACATAACGATCCTCGATTTCCTCCCAGTTGCATTACGCCTGGGAGGTGGCAGTATGGAAACGACTTCACGCACTTGTGAAGATGGGCTAGCGTGTGTCCGTGCCGGTGGCTCCCTCCAGGGCAGATCTGATTGGTTCATTTAGCCGGGAGTTCAGCGCTTCTCGCCGCAGGCACGGCTGCCTCCAGGGGCTCAGATGACATCAGGAGTCTCTCTCTCTCTCTCTATTTTCCTTTGTTGGTGGCGTTCACAGAGAGACTGTCTCTACATGGCAGTAAGGAAGGCCACCAGTGCTTCCCGGACCCTCTCTTTCATGGTGGCCTCTGTGGAAAGCCAGGCAGGGCTATGTGCTTACCCCTGGAGCTAGAGAACGGGTCAAGCCCATCCTGCCCTGAACAGGGAGGTTCAAAGGGCAAGAGAGAGAGGAAGCAGCTCCCACTGCTTGCGTGTCAATTCAGCGGTGGTTAGAAATGTCCCTCCCATGCTGTGCAATTTTAGGAAGAGGCCCAGAAGTCCACTCATCAAAACATGCACCTGACAGAGCATTAACGCCTGAATTCCAGCCCGGATGCAGCTTACTCCAAAGCCCGGCTTGCACGCCCTGGCTTTCCTTTGGCTGTTTAAACGGTGCGCGAGTCCAGCATGAAGTTAGAGGTGTGCTGTGGGACTTGCAGTCAGAGAACTTGCTTCCCTCGTGACTCCTCTGTGCTTTGAACACATCTAGTCCATTTCAGCTTTGTTCCCGTATCTACTCAGCGGGGAGGGTTAATAACTCGGTGCATTTGCTGGGATTAAATGAGAAGCATTTGAGGTGGCTCAGACCCGCGCTGGAAGAGGAGTTGCATCCAGTTTGGGAAAGTTGGTTGTCAGGCAGGTAAGGATCCTCGGAAAGCACGTCCAGAAGGTGCGTTCACTCTTCCAGGTGACTTTAAAAATGCCGCCTCCAGTGGCCAGAACGAGTTCATGCAGCTTCCCAGAAGTGCCCCACCTTCCTCAGGAAGAACCGTCTCCAGCTTACGTTCTGACTTAATCAGCCATTTCTTCCACTGACTTGGATGTGGGAGCTGAAGACCCACCACCCGGAGCCATGGGACATTCCGCTGCTTGTCATCCCGATGTTTCTGGGGAGCGTCGCACAGCATGGCTGTTCCTGTGTTTACCACCGGCATAGTCAGGGCTGAGGTTTAAAAAAGAGAAAGAAGTGATTGCTTTCCTTTATTCCCGGCAGAGGAGGCCTGCTGAATGGTTAATCTCAGCATCCCCTCAGGGCAGGAGGAGGCTGTTCTGCCAGTGGTCGCCTTCAGCTCATTAATGAACTGTGGTCAGTTTGGTACCGGGACCTCAGACATGAAGGCAGCTCTTGAAATGTTGATTGCTTTTAAAATTAAAATTTCACTTGATTTATTCCACATCCCCTCCCCTCCCCAGTACACACTGAATGTTTATAAATTGAGAAAACGTGTTGTCTCTGATTTGGGTTTTAGCAGTGTCACCCAGTTATTTTTTTCGAAGTTCCTTTCAACTATGTTTTGTTTCCACTTGATGAGTTAAAATGAAATAGGAATATTCAAGTTGATCTAGTCACGATAAGATGCAAGTATATCTGTTTTTTCTTGGTCTTTCTGCCCTCCACCTCCCCACCCAGTACTTTCCAATTTGCTCAGCAGTACGAACACAAGAGTTTATTATAAGTACCTCTGGCCTCAGCTGGGAAAAGTCCTAGACAACCCCCCACCCCGAAAGTATCACCACAAAGGATCTCCCTTGCCTCGTGGTGTCTTCAAAGTCCCTCTAAGCTGGTCTGAGAAATTGCTCACATGAGACCCAGGGAAGTGCTACGTCCGTGTTTGGCTCTTTCTTCCTTATGCATGCGTGCCGTCCGCAGGCGACACACAGAGGAGGCGGCGGCTCTTGCAGAAGGGGATTCCCGGAAGCTGGCCTGCCACCCTGAGAAGCCGGCTGTCCGGCCTGCGCTCCCTTCCAGGCCGCAGCGGGGCCAGATGTGGCGGAGCCTTCGCAAGCCAGGCAGATGCTGCAGACGAAAAGCTGTGGCCTCCGGTGGGACTCCAGGAAGGCCTTTCCCCTTGCACATCTCTGGGCTGGTTGAAGGAAGAGATTGCTTTGCCTCTGCTGCCCCCCTTCTTCCACAGAGTGCTCCCAGGGAATGAACATTTCTCCACGGAAACCACCACCACCAGGGGAAGCCCACTAGAGAACGTCCTGCATCTGGGTAAAGATGTTAACAGAATTCACGGAACTGCCTGTTGTCAGGGTGAGGCACGGCAGGGAAATGTGTGGCTGTTTCTGAAACTGGGCTGCAGAGGTCTGAGATGGATGGCCGACCAGTTCACCACCAGGGAAAGGCCAAGAGCCCCTCCGCCTCCTCCCTACCTCCCACCAAATCTGCTCTCACATCTGTACGTGGCCTTTAAGCTGGACTTTCCAAGCACGTGCATCAAACAGTGGGTTTGGATCGAAGTCACACTGGGTGGTTTCACTGCCTTGCTTCTCGGCAGCTGTCTGCTCCCAGAGAATGTCGGCTGCTGGCCGTGTTGCACCTCCGCAGTGGGCTTGAGTGTCATCGGGAAAGTGTCATCCATCGTTTCCACTAGTCCTGGTCCACGCCACGCTGTGCAGCCCACTGGGGATTCTAGTGAGTCTGGCAACTCCTTCTCTGTCTCCGTTTCTACCGGACGACTGGTCTCATGTGCCCTTGCAGTCTCTGGCTTCATCTGTGGGCTCTTCCTACCTGCTGCCATTCTCCGGCGTTTCTAGTCTCTCTCTGGGCTTCACTATTTTATCTTCTGGGGACTGTGACGGCATCTGGCCAATCCATTATGAGGGCTGTGAACACATGGCCTCGAGGATGGTCCCATGTGGTGATTCTGGTGCTGATCTAGTTAATTTTCTAAGAACTTTCCAAGACATCTTTGGGGCGGGGGTCGTTACTGTGATTGCAAGTCAGCTGGTGAGTATGTGTTCTTCTGCCACGTGAGCCAGCTGGCTGCCAACAGTGGGACTTACAGGTGCTCTTCTGCAATGGTAGCTTGGAAATGTTTGCTGCCACTTCTAATACTTCATGTAAAACTGGATCAGGGGACCTTTCGGCCCCTTTCATCCTTGATGTTATGTTGCCGCCACCCAGCTCTGCCAACCGTCTACGAACCAGCAGCTTCCCCAGACCCTGTCTGTCCTTTGAAATGGGTTCTTCAAAGGCTACCTGTTAGCATTTCTTACCTAAGTTATCTTTCTGTCTCTGTCCAACCCCTCAAACATGTATCTTTAAGGGTCCTGGGAAAAAAGACGATTCTGGTGCATTTAAATATACTTTTTTAACCTTGTTAGTAGTTTGTATCTCCTATCCCTTGAACTTCCCAAGTAAGACGATTCAGTATGCTAGATAAGAAAGGTAACCAGAATTCATGGCTTGCTGAACAGTGGTTTGGGTGCTTTATTATGACTATGAAATCCGTTGCTATAGATTTCAGGGAACTCTAGTCCACAGATGAGGGGTTTCGCTCTCACGGATCAACACGTACTTGGCCTTTTAGTTCCCAGCAGATGTCCACACTAGGTCATCCTTGGCTTCCAGGGGGTGGCATGCCAAAGCCGAGTGGACTGCCCCACCAAGGACATCCAAAGCTTGGGAAGAATGCACATAGTTCTTCAAAATAGTGGGGAATTTTAATGTTTCATTTTGATCTTAAAATTGTAAGCCCTGCGGCTTGGCTCCCAGCTGTCTCCGTCGGGAAGCGGAGGCTGTTCAGGACTTTCTAAATGAAATCGATCTTAGTTCTCCACAGCTATGGAACACAGGCCCGGCATCCGTGGTTTGAAAGTTAGAATCACTTCCGATGCCAAATTTACAATACTTGCCTCTCGTTTGCCATGAAGTGCCTTTCGGGTAATAGTTACCAAGGAGCGATGCCAACTGGAGAGTCACCTTCAGGGCCATCGCTGGGTTCGCCCTCACAGAGGTGCTAAAGGCAGGAAGGAACGACAGGCCATGGATGGCCTGCTGCTGAGGAACTCACCCACGGTCACAGCCCGAGGGGCTCCGGGGCTCCGTCTAGGAACTGACGGGGACAGAGGTGCTGGGAGCACAGGGCTCTTCAAGCTGTGTTCACGGGAAGCAGGTGTCTATTTTCAAGATGCTCAGCTCCGTATTTTATAATCAAGGCAAAGCCTGAGAAGAGGCGAAGCCCCACCCCGATGAAAGGGAACCTCGTGAGACCTTGACACCCTGGAGCAACAGAATGACAGGGCCTCTCTGTTTCCTGGCACCACCATCCAGGTTGTAAGCAAGATCTAGGCTCTGAGGATGACGCTGTCGCCACCCCTCCCACCCCCGCCGCTGTGGGATCACGGACCCTGGAACTCAAGGTCCCACCGCGGCCCGCGGTGTCCATGGCGCAGGGGCTGGGCTTCTCTGTGGCTGTGTTGACCCGGTGGAGTCTGGGGGAGCCAGATACTGGCTTTGGATAAGATGGGCTGACAGGCCCGGAGATATGGAAAGAGCAGCCGGACCACTGAAGACAAGAGGGGCCTTTGAACAGCTGCTCCTCCTTCCCCTCGGCACTCCAGGAGAGAAGGGGGGTACGAGGGGTGAACTGCCCGCTCTAAACAAGCTTCCTCAGAAAGACGCTGGAGCCTGAGCTCAGGAAAGGCAGTGTGGACCATGCCCTCTGCCCTTGCCTGCCCTGCCAGCATCGGTGTGTGTCCTGCTG